TCCTCCGTGCCCGGCGGAGCGCTCCGTGCACAGGAGCTGCCCTTTGAGGAAGGGCAGCCTCGAAGGGCACCGCTGCTCAGAGCACTGAGGGGTCTTGGCAAGAGAACTGAGGAGCTGAGATGCGGGGCTGCCAAGGTCGTTTACCTGCCAGTGGTGGGGAGCGAGCTGCTGTCAGCAGGTGTGCACGACCCTCCTCGCTGTCAGCCGGAAAGCCTCTCCGAGAGCGCGGTGCTTCACTGCTCTGGTGGGCACGCACAGAGCAGCTTCGTGGAAATGGCGTGCAAAAAGCACCTTTGTTCGGTGCGTGCTTTTATTCTCAGCCGTCTTTGAGGGCTTCTCGTGCAGCAGGGACAAGTATAGGACTCCTGAGGGAGGGAAAGATTTTGAAGCTTTGCCTGAAAAGTGTTAGAGAAGTTGAGAAGAGTGTTTGAGAAATTGAGTAAGACTACAGAGAGCAATTAAAGATTGGAGAGATTTTTTTTTTTCTTTTCAAAAAAGCTAGCCTACATTTTCATTCCAAGTCTTCATCTATATCTCCAAAGGGAAAACCCTTCTCTCCTCAAGGACTATGTCACTAAAATGTTAGCTGGCCTAACCACAGATAACTTGCATGTTTCCATAGTAATGACACTCTGCAGAGCTTTATATTACAGTTTGCAGGGTATCTACTGTACATCAGCCTTTTTGAAGCTGAGTAACTGTCTTGGAAATCCTCTGATCTGTTTTCTGCTTGTCACAATGTGGAGGGAGAGTAGATTGAGTGCATCAGAAAGAAGGCTAGTAAACAAGCTCGTGGAAGTGCTGAGGGACTTAAAATTGACTTTATCAGACTACTTGGTAATTGTGATTATTTTTAACAGTAAGGTGGAGTTGATGCTGCATTTAAACCTGCTATGCTTTTAAGTATCTGGCCTGCAGCTCTTGGAAGATACTGGAAGAAATAAGTTGCATCTGCCTTAAAACTGAAAATCAGAGTTTAATTAACAGGCAGGTTGATTTTGTACACAAATACTGCAGCCAGAGAAGAAACAGGCTGCTTGACTGGGTACTGTGTGGGATGCAGCACTTGGAGACCTGAGGCATTCTTCTTTTTTCATTCCTGAATTAGTGCCATTGAAATCCCTCACACGTAGGGCTCAGTGGCTCTTATATCACATAAACTTGTAAAATTTTTTATTCAAAACCCGACTGGGGAAAGTGTGTATCTCATGGAAGTCACGGTCTACTTCGCCGAAGTTAAATTCGGGTTTAATATGGCCTACGACTTTTTACGAGAGACTTTAAATGAAATAACAGCGGCGCTAAACTTCAGACACTTGCCAGCTTTCTTAGTTGTCTTGGTGTTGGAGGTGGCTTGAATTTCAGGGAATCAAGGCAGTTAAGTCTTGAGCTGCCCTTTCAAAAGAAGAGTTCTACGCAGTGCAGAAAGCACCACGAATCTACCTGGGCAGAGCCTGATCAACACTCTTCTCTCTGCGTGGAGCAGCTCGGCTGAAGGTACCTGCTGGAGCAGCCCTGGGCTCCTGACGTCAGCAACATCCGATCCTGCGCCCCCACCACATTGGCTGCCGTCGCCTCCACTCCATCACCAGCCCCGTTTTATTTCCCCCTCCTAAGTGACACCGAGCTGGGACTGGGATTTGGCTTCCCCAGGCAGCCCAGCTTGAGCTCGGAAGAGAGAACTAGAGTCGCTAAAGAAATTAAAACCAGATATGCCCATAAATGCGTGAGGGAGAGACAGTCTGTTCTCACTGCTGCGTGCCAGGCGGTCACTGGGGGCTGAACCTTATCCTTGGAATGTGCTCGTACGCGAGTGGAAGGGTCCAGCTGAGCTGTCACCTTTTGGGATTTGGGAAGATCCATGCTCTAAAGCTGTCTTAGGGACATGGCAGGGGAAGGATGCTTGTGTATCTGCTGCTAACAGCAAGTTCTTTATTAGAACGGATAGATCCGTTGTGCTGTTAATCACTTGTGATCAATGTTCTTTCTCTCCCAGGAAAAAGGGAGGCAAGAAACCATCAGGATCGTTCACTTTAATCAGAGCTTGTTTTGAGATAAAGTAAGATTGTGCCTGTGGCTAGATCAGAATTGGACTCAGTGACATGGAAAGAAACACGGCTGCTCTTGAAAGCATTTCTGTTGACTTCAAGCCAGCCTTATTTTACTTTACTCTAGGATTTTAGCTCTCTAATGTTCATCGAGTAAAGTATATAAAACTGGATTATTTTGAATTTAAATCAAAATCTGTGGACTCTTCGAGGCTCTCTGTAGCTTCTCCTAGAAACATCACAAGATTTCTCCTAGCAGGGTTGTTAGTACTATCTAGGTACTAGAAAAAACTATTTTAGGATGCCTCTTCCAACAACCCGTTGGGCCAGTGTTATGAGAGCAGCAGTGCAGTGGATGCTGTTCTGTTGCATTAGACTTGCTATGCTATTAGAGAATGTTCCCCTTGTATCATCCAGGGTCTGGGCTGTGAGGTTTAAACTACCTTTGTGTCAGTTCTCCATTTGTGCAGACTACAGTTCGTGGGCTGAGATGGTAGCCATGAAATGCCGAACTGGATGGGCATGTTGGTCTGCGGAGTAAGGCAATAGCAGGGGCCTGGTGCTGTATCCAGTACAGGGGAAAATCCCAAAGACCTCAAAGTATTGAAAGTAAAGAATTAGATACATAACTCTCTGGAAACGGGACCCACCCTTGCAAATAGTTTTGTATTTTTGAAATGTGCAAGCTATTAAAAAGCATTTTTCAAAAGTCTATTGTGTAAAGGACTGGCTTCCATGAGTCAGGTTTTACAGGAAACGGTCCAAGCCTTATTCTTCTCCCTGAAAGAATTTCCTTCCAGTTTTCTCATGCAGGGTGAAGTTCTGCAGACATCCCCCCAATAGTGAGAAGTGGTGCCTGCCTATGAGAGGGAAGGAGAAACTCCCACCTGTATTAGGGACACTTGGTGTAATGTCTGTTGCTCTGTGTCCAAACTCCTGTTCCTTACCTTTCTGCTCTTTGTTAGTTTGCTTTTCTGTGCCCTGTGCTTTGGAGTGAGGCCTAACAAAGCTGCTAAATAATTCCACAGTATATAAAGGAGCAAGACTTAATCTTAGAAGGAGGGCTAGAGAAGTATTCAAGTACTCTAGAGAATACTTGAAAGCCTCTTCTGGAAAGCCCCTATTACCAGTGTAAAACAGGCTTTTACACTGTAAAATACCTTGAAGTTTTTGATATGTCCAAGCCTTAATTTGAAAGACCCAGCGAAATAATTGCTGGTGCTGGTACAGTTTTCTAAGAACTCTGCATTGTTGGATGGTTTTACGTGAATCTTCACATGCTTGTTGATGACTCAGAATCTACAAAAGATTCTCAAGTAGATCAGAACATCTCCAGGTTTTCTGAAATTGGATTAGCTGCCTTGTGCAGACACTGATGAGACTCAACCTGCTGAGACTCCCGTATCCCAGATGTGAGGTGGGGAGGAGGGAGGACCTGAAGACATTTTCTAATTCAGGAACTTTGAATGGGGGGAAATAGAACAACACAGTGAATACAATTGACTCTACAGGCTTAGCCTGGATGTATGTTCCTGTGACCCTGGATGGGGCTGGGACCTTCAAACAAAGTAGGGTTAGAACCGTGTCTTACTCTAAATGGTGCTTTGTACAAACACAAACAACTGTAGTAGTTGAGCTACGAATAACCGAAGCTTCCTAACCAGGAAGCTACTTCACTGAATCCGAAGGTTTTCACCTTCCTTTTACAACAAGACATGTTATTGCCTCACTAGATGTGTGCACACCTGAGGGTTCCCAGCTCGCCCCATAAAAAGAACCTGTATGCTACGGTTTAATGCTCAGTCCCACAGAATGAATGCTGCTATCTGAATCAGGTGTTTGGTCAGCAACCCCAGGGTGCGAACGTCTGGGTCAAGGTTCAGGTTTAGTTTAGATTGGCTCAATTAAAGCACCTCCTGGTTTGTCTGAGAACAGTGAAGTTACTGTGTCAGATATTCAACGTGAAATGGTGTTGGGAACTGCAGTTGGAAGCCTGTTTTCTCTTCTTTAATGTGGGAGGTGTGGCTCGGAGGTGAGCAGATGGATGGTGCCAAGTAGCACACCTCTCAGCGCTGAGCCACTCTGTGCTGAAGCTAGAGATCAAAATCTTCTTTCTGCTCCCTTTATTTGTGTTTCTGCCTGTACACTGGGATTGTGTGCATCTGAAAGATGGCTGTTGTCAGTGGTGTCAGGCCTGCTCGCTGATGCTTGTGTAATCTGATGGCGAGGGCACAGGGCTGGGAGCACAGATGTTCAGGGTCTGGCTTGAAAACGTGCTAGAAGCAAATCAATGTGTGTAGCTGCTTTCTTCCCCTGAATTCAAATGTGACCTGTCCCTCTCTAAAACAGTCTCGTGAAACGCCTAAAAAATGCCCAGTTTCAGTGGCAGTGTTTTGATGAAGCGTTCAGCACCTGCAAAGCAGGGGCCAAAAGGACAAACCTAGAGTGAAACGTGACCCTTGGGTCTTTGATGGATATGCCAGTGTTTTTCCCTCTGAAGAAGAGTTCACCTGTTTGCTCTTGTGGGTTGGCATGAGGACTGGTGATGCCTGAGCAACTGGAGTTTTTCCACAGTGGTGCCCAGTGCTCTCCAGGCTGTGGCTTTCAAACACAATGCACCTTTGTCGTTTGTTTGGAGGTTTAGGCGGCACCTGCCCTTGTAGTTGTGCCTGCACCAGTCTTCCTTTTAACAAAAACTCATGTTTCCTCATGCTCCTTCCTCTTCTCCTCCATCAAGCGAGTGTTTAGTTCAATACGAGGAAATCTGGGATCACAGTGGAGCTGCTCACTTCAGAATTCCTCTAAAATTACAAATTCCATTTGATTTGAGAGAGCTTGAAAGCCAAGGTCAAGGTGCACATTTTCTCTCATTTTTTTGCTGTCAGATTTCATTAATAGTTTAGTGATTATCCTCTCCTGTTTACCTTTTGTTAATCTGTTTTTCATTTTCAGCTCTTCCTCCAAAGCCCCCCAAGCCAATGACTCCAGTCAATACGAATGGAATAAAGGACAATTCCAGCTTCTCTCTGCAGGAAGCAGAATGGTACTGGGGGGACATCTCAAGGTAAGCAATATTGCTAGAACATATTCATTAAAATGTATTAATATATGTTGTTAAAAATAGATTAAGCCAGCTACAATTCAAGATAAAAAGAACATGGCTATTTCAGGCAGCATTTTACAGGAGGGGAACACTTCAGGACTTTTCTTGGCAAAGCACCTAAGTGAAACTGTTCAGCTGGATTGAGGACATTTAAGTTGTTGCTCTTCTGGTGTAGATATTGCCAGTCTTGGTGACACCTAATTTTGAGGTTTTCTAAATTTGCCCAGATACACAGTCTTTAAAAAGGAGAAAAATCTGAATCTGCTATCTAATAAGGTGTTGTGAGCATACAGTGCTGAAATGCATGCAGGTCAACAAAGTTTCAGTATAAACCCAAAATTTCAGAATAAAAGGAATTGCATTCTTAGTTTTGGTTTCTTTAACATCAGTTTAAAATTGCATCTGTATTAATTTCTATTACATGATGATATAAAAAAATAGCTCTTAAAAATGCTAACCAGCTACACTGAGCAGATGCTAGAGACACATATCAAATAAATTAAGCTTTACCTCTTAAGAAAACCTTTTGCTATGCACTTGAGAAAATAGATGGCTTGGGTCAGGTTCAGAAAATGAAGGACTAGTTTTTTTATATTTGCATAAAAGAACTGAAGTGTTCAGTCATCTCTTTCCCTCTTAAGGCACTTCTGAAGAGGCTAGAATTTGGAAGTGTAAGAGGAAAGGTGAGCGTGCTGGGATGTGATCAGGAATTGCTCAAACTTGTGCACGTAACATTTTGAAGCGCTTTGGCAGATGGAGGCAAGAAGAGCGCGTCTGCCACATTTAACTTATCGACGTTCTGAGAAGGGAAATAAAGTTTTCATATCTTTATTATACCACTCTTATCTTTCTATAAAGTAAACCCGTGGAGATCTTGCTTTTGAAGAGCCTCAGCAGAGATATTTTCCTGTTAATTTTAAATCGAAGCAGAGAGGCAAAAAGTGATCACAAAGCCCACTAGGCACAGTTTGTTTAAAACTGCTCGATATTGGTATCAGTTTATTGACTGTGGATTTGCTCCTCAATTGACAGTGCACATGATGGCAGGAGCTAATGCACTACAAATCGCATTGCAGTGGCTTTATTAGATTAAAACATGATACACGTGCATGTAAAGATGGAATTGTTTATGACCTTAATTTGGCAGGCAGCAGGCATGGGCTGCATTGGGCTATCAGGGCAGGAGCAGTGTTCTTCAGTCCAGAACTTGGGCTGGAAACTTTGTCATGAGCTCCAGGGTGCAACCTGCAGGCCACAAGCCCAGACCCATGGATAGTATCTATCAATTCAAAGAGAGGATTGTCTGGGTTAATTGGGTCCAATGTGTAAAATGGTCAGAGAGGAGTAAGCGGTTATGCACGTAAAACTTTGTAGTATGGAGTCAGTTTTACTAACAGAATCATTTTCAAGTAGCTAAATCAAAGCTAGGGCTGTTCTGTAAGAATACTTTTGTTCCTTAGTATTTGAACAAAAAAGCTGCTGTTGATTTTGCTTTGTAAGATTCAACTAAGCTTCCTACAGCACTTAGACAATGTTGAGGCTACCTGAGAAAATTTAGTTTCCAAATGATTGTGTTAAAAAGTGCTTAGTACTTCTAAAAGCTTTGAGGGAGCTGTTATAAGGTGAGATACGTAATCTGGGTGAAATGCTCAAACCTGGCAAGATGCTTATCTCTTCAGCTGAAATAATTTTCTTAATGCTTACAGGTACTCACTTTCACTACAAGATTTCTTGGTTTAGCTTAAAGCTCTGGACTGAGTGTCCTTTTGCCTCAGTTGTAAATAAGGAAGAGTTGCACTGAAGCTGGAAAGGTTGTAGTGCTTTAAAACGGCTGTAAATAAGATCAGAGTTAAGCCAATAAAGAGCCTCTCGAGACTAAAACTGTGCTAAACTTTAGGCACCTCTGAGCTGTGCTGTTAGAGGCCATCTCTTAAGGGGTCAGGACTGGCTTCTCAAAGGGCACCTGTTCCAGTGTGGACTTTAAAACCTGAGCAGATTACAGGGAAAGGTTGTGAACTGAGTCACAGCTGCTACTGTTGTTTAAACAGAGACTTCTGTCTAAGTGGCAGTTGACTGTGACTGCTTGTCTTTAGTACAGCTACACAAGTTGAGACTCGCTTTAGATGCCCTAAAAGACTGGAGAGCCCAGGCGTCAAAGAAAATTGAACTTATGCATGCTGGTGTTACTGGCTCTGATGTTTTACCTGTGGCAAAGATGCTCATGTCCTTAGTGCTTCTAATTTTCCTTCCCTTTCCATTCTCCAGGGAAGAAGTAAATGACAAATTACGAGACATGCCAGACGGAACATTCCTGGTGCGCGACGCATCGACCAAGATGCAGGGAGACTACACTCTGACCTTACGGTGAGCTCTGAGCACTTGTAGCCCACACAGGGAGAGCCCTGAGTAGCTGTTGCTATACCAGTGACTGCCGTGGCTTTGTAAAGCTCATGTGGCTTGAGAGATGTTCCCACTACAGCGCATCACAGAATAAGCAGGTCTGACAGTCAGTTCTGTTCTGTACATTGAATCCTGTCCCTCTCTAAACACTGCTGTGAGGATCTGCGTGTGGATGAAATGGGACTTGGGGAGGAGAGCTCCTCAGGAGTGCTTCATAGTTTCAGAACTGCTAAGCTAAAAGGTGTTTGTAACCCAGGGCTTTGATTAATGGGAGAGTGTTGAATATCTCATCAGTCTACAGCTCTGGAAAACCGAACACAGTGTCTTTGTAGAAGGAGTATCTTGTGCTTTATGATCTGTGGTTTAGGAAATACTGAATTGGAGCCATGTTCTTTTTCTTCATTAAAATTTTCTGCAAGTGGAAGGTTTCCCAGAGCTGCCCCAGCCCTGTCTGCTGCAGTTAGGCAGCAGACCTCATGTGACTGGCTCTGGTGCCTTGCCCAGCCTGCCCAGCCACTTGCCTCTGCCAGGCTCCCAAGATTGGTTGTTAGAGGCAAGCAGGTGAGGCACATAAGCCACCGCCTCTCTAGCACACCTTTGGGAGTTACTGTGATATAGCAGGTATTTGATCTTACCGTGAAATTCCATTGCCTTAATAGCAGGTTTGACCCCAAGGGTGTAGTTAAAATTCTGCTTTAACTTCTACCTGAAAGTTCACACCACGTGCACTGAGGTTTGCCGTGATTTTATTTTGCCGAAAGCAGACGTCTCTAGGAACCAAAATTGTGAGTGCAGGAAGGACAGGATAGTGTCTAAACAGTCTGTTGGTGGAAAAAAAGGAAGAAATAAGTGCTATATTTGTGGAAACCACTAGAACATATGAATCTGGATAACATAAGGCCCTGAAGTTACAGCCATCTTGTAATCCTCACAGGATTTTGTTTAGGTCCATGTATCCTGTATTAGCATCCATAACTCAAAAGACTTGTTAATAATTGTATAAACCTATACTCAGATGTATGCTATTAGTGACCCCAAATTGCAGGAAATTATGGGTTTTGGTTTTCTTATGGCTCCTTTATTCAGCCTTCAGCATCCTCTGTTTCCCTTGCACAACTTCTGGCAAAGCTTGAACTTAAATACCATAAGCTGGCTCCAGAATGAACACATAGGAAGAGATTTACTTTGGGCTTTGCTCCTGTTCAAATAATCTGATGATAATTCTGTGTGTATTGACTCTTGAAGTACTTAATACTGCTACTGTGTAAAGGATCACTGTGAAGGCCACTTGCCCAGGAATTTCACCGATGTCTTTGTGAGCAGCCCTGGTGTTGAAGAGGGATGGGAGTGACACAGTAAAACCTCTGTACTTTGCAGGAAGGGTGGCAACAATAAACTGATAAAGATCTACCACCGGGACGGAAAATATGGCTTCTCTGACCCACTGACGTTCAATTCAGTTGTGGAACTCATTAACCACTACCGCAACGAGTCTCTGGCTCAGTATAACCCGAAGCTCGATGTGAAGTTGATGTACCCAGTGTCCCGGTACCAGCAGGTAAGGTCTCCATCAGACCCCAGTACCTATTAGTGCAGACAAGAACAAAAATTGCAAATGTGTATGTAATTTTTGTTTGCTTTCTATGAATAGCCTGATTTTATTTATTTATTTATTTATTTTTAATACGGAAAAAGAAAAAAGGTGGGGTTTTCACATTTCCCCTCACTTAGACTCATTGTCTAGCCATTTAAGCTGCTCCATTTTATCAGGTTTCTGGTCTCCATCTGAGCAGCCATCAGGCAGCAGAGAAGGGAAACCCTGGTATGCAGCAGTTGAACTCCTGAGAAGCTTTTTTATTTCCCCTTGGACCCTCATGGAGCCACCAGGCACTGTTCTAGGCAGTGTTACCCTTGAAGTACATCTGACCCATGCAGATGCTCACTCTATGCATAGACATCTGAATTTTTCAAGAATGTTTTTTTAACTTTTATTCAGTAGCTTGAAACATTTTCCTGCATTGAGGAAAAAGAACTATAGAGCTTTTTGGGAAAAAAACAAACCAAACAACCCTCTGATCTCTAGCTTCAGATTCCAAGTAATTTACTTCCTTCTTTCTTGAATAGGGGATAGCAATTCTGAAAGAAAGGTGTGGTGTGTTTTTGGAAGCTTAGTATTTGGCATAGTTCTTGGTGTCCTATAGTTCCAGTTCCTACTGTCTGTAGACTGTGGAATGTGTTGCACAAAGGAAGGGGGATTTAGAGACAGTGTTCTCTAGAAACTGGATTATAAACATGATGCTAATATCTGTAAAATGCAAATGTGCATAAGTGGACAAATGAATACTCTTAAGGAAAAGCTGCTTTGCTTGAAGACTTAATAGCTCTTTGTATGTACAGGATCAGTTGGTGAAAGAAGATAATATAGATGCAGTAGGTAAAAAGCTTCAAGAATACCATGCTCAGTATCAGGAAAAGAGCAAAGAGTACGACAAATTGTATGAAGAATATACCAGAACATCACAGGTTTGTTCTTCTTTGGCTGTTTGTTGAGTCTGTTTCTTGTTTAAAAAGTAAAGAAAGTTATTTTAACCTGTTATGGCTAATAAAGGCAGTCCATAGTGAGAAAATACAAGGAAAAAACTTAGTAAATTGTGGAATAGAGCAAGGTGGTTTCAGAGTTGATGGAAAGAGTGAATATTGCTTGTTGCTGATAGTCCTAGGGGTATGGTGTGAGGCTGGGAATAAAGAGGAGCTGAGCTTCCTAGTGTAAAGTAAAGCTGTGGAGAAGACCAACACCTAGAAGCTTTACACTGCAGACTTCTTCCTTGGCTGCTGAGTATTTCCAGCTGCTGGATTCTGCAGTGAGAATTTGGAGGGATTTATCCAGGTTTTTTGTGAAGTCACGTGCAAGTCAGTTACCAGATATTATGCATTAAGGAAGTGTGAATACGATATTTGGACTGCTTCTTGTAAAAAAAGATAGTTCATGTATGGGGAGGAGGTTTGCTGGCAGTCTTCCTGAAAACTAAGATGGAAAATATGACTAAAATATTTGAGGGGTTTGCAGCCTAATAGAGAGCTCTGTGTAGAGGAGGAGGGTAGATTTGCAGGGAGTAAGTCTGCCCTGTTCTTCCCTGGCTCTACTTGGACAATTGACTAAATTTAAAACTGATTAATTTCATTTTGACTTACTTAGTAGGGGGGAGAAAAGATGGTCTTCTCAGTCAGTTTAGGGAACATGCTTGGGTCTTGCTTTGTTGTCTGTATTATGAACAAATGATGAAGGACTCTTTCCTCACATAGGAAATTCAGATGAAGAGGACTGCAATCGAAGCATTTAATGAAACTATTAAGATATTTGAGGAGCAGTGCCACTCACAGGAGCGATACAGCAAAGAGTACATTGAGCGATTCCGCAGGGAGGGGAATGACAAAGAGATTGAGCGGTAAGCTCGGGTTGTGTTTGCTTCCCTGGAAAAACTGTTGTCCACATGGACATTCCCATTAAAGCCTCATATGAACCACTTTGTAAACTCAGTGCCTTCTCTAGTAAAACTCTCTTCTGAAGAGAGGTGAGAGATCTCTGGATTGGTCTTGCTCTTAACTTCAGTAAATCAAGGTACTGTGATGAGGACCAGGAAGGAATTAGGAAATAATAATTTAATTTGCTTCTTCCACTTCTGTTTGGATTTGCTCAGAACGTAATTCAGAAAAATCTTTACTTTTCAACTGTGAAATATACGTAGATCTGGTAAATCTCATAGTCCATAGTCAGTTTTAGTCACTTTCAAAGAAGATTATATTTAATAGCTGTCATCTAACAAATTCAGTAAGGACCTCATTTGAAACTGCCTTTCTGTGAGGGTACTAGCAGAAAAAACTGTATCTGGGCCTTTGAAGAAATGCCAGATGCGATGCCTAACTTTTCATAATGTTTTTTGAACCACATAGGTTCACCTTAAGGAGATCTTTAGACTGAAAAGTTACCTGTAACAATCTTACTGTACAACTGTGGTGCTTCATTCTGAATGAAGATCAATTAACATGGAAAATATGCAATTTTCCTGAATTGTACCAAACCTGCAAACTAGTCTTGAAAGAAGAGGCAGGCAGCTTTACTTTGTGGTAGCTCTTGATAGTAATTGAAGTCTGCATTTGAAATCTTGCTAGTTCTGATACCTACAGTGGGATTGCATAATTGATATTACAAAGTGAATCTGACAGTGAAGGAGGAATCTGTTCTTTCTCACCCTCCTTTGGATAATTTGTTCCTGCATCTCTGCCAGGAGGAAGTATATTAAGGTAAACTGAAGGTTGTAGGCCCTCTGGCAAGAGGTCTTTTCTGTCACTCTTACTGCAGTTTTCCTGTGAAGATGAGGCAGTCAAAGGGAGGAGCAGCTGTTATGGTAGTTCTCCTGATGCTCCTCTATAAGTGCTACCAGTAGGTTCAGTCCTAGGCTGAACTTGACCTCTTTTCTCAAATATTGTGTTTGTTTTCAGGATAATGATGAACTATGAAAAATTAAAATCCCGCCTGGGTGAGATCCATGACAGTAAAATGCGCCTGGAACAAGACTTGAAGAAACAAGCTCTGGACAACAGGGAGACCGATAAGAAAATGAACAGTATCAAGCCTGACCTAATTCAGCTCCGCAAAATCAGAGATCAGTATCTTGTGTAAGTAAGCCTAACCTGTACCTCAGAATAGTGTCTCTGATGAACCTGATTAATGACTGTTTCCATCAGGATAATGAGAATTTAATTTTCTTTTCATAACCAAAGTTCTGTGAGTGTTAAGGTGCTCCTTCCTGGCATGGGATATTTGGGTATTGGTTGACCTCTTCTTGGCCTCGTTATTTAAGGAGCCAGCCACAAATAGGTGCACATTCTGCAACTTGTGTACATAAAAATCTTAAAATAAATGAGTTATAAACAAAACCTGTGCCTGCTAGTACAACAGAGGTTAGTACTACTTTTGTTGTTAGGTGTGTCAGGTATTGCTCATGCCCACATTTGATTTCCCCAACACTCCTGTTATCCAGCTCCTGATGTCCTTGGGCTGGACACAGACTGTTTCTTTGTGGTACCTTGTGTCTGAGCTTCAGCTTGCTTAGTAAGAAAACCCAAACACGTACTCTGAAGTAATGTATTAATGCTCTCTTCTTCTGGCAGATGGCTCAATCACAAAGGGGTGAGACAGAAGCGAATAAACGACTGGCTGGGGATCAAAAATGAAAATATTGATGAGTAAGTGTCACTATACATATGATTTTGTTGAGAAGTGTTCTATCTATGAGTGTTTTCTCCTGTGGGGGTTGGTGACAAAAAACACCTATTTTTTCAGTAAAGGACTGGAGAAAAAAGGAGAAAGTCTCCAGGGGAACTTGGCATCGTGTGAAACAGCAATTCTCCTGAAACATTTAGGATTAAACAAAGTTGAAACAAATAAGTTCTAAGTGGAAGCCTTTAATATTTGTCCGTTAGGAACCTGACCTTCCAGTATGGGCAGTTCTGGTATTTCTTCGCATGATTTCTGCAAAAATGAATAACTCTGCTTACCAACTCCTTTACTGATTGCTGGTTAACAAATTTATCCTTTCTTTCAGCACATACTTTGTGAACGAAGAAGATGAAAACCTGCCACATCATGATGAGAAAACTTGGTTTGTTGGAGATCTCAACCGTATCCAAGCAGAAGACTTGCTCTGTGGGAAACCTGATGGGGCATTTTTGATTCGCGAGAGTAGCAAGAAAGGATGTTACGCTTGTTCTGTGGTGTAAGTCTGTTTTCCTTTCTGTTCTAACTACTCAGTACATAAATCTCTACCAAAGCTCTTTTATTTTGGAGAACAAAAGCTAGGCCTAACGTAGGTCTACCCATTGGAATGTGTTTGCAGGAAGACCAGCACGGTAAAAGCTTTGTAACAAAAGTGTGCTTTGAATGTGCAATAACTGTAGTCCTGCAGTCTCTGTTTTGGCCACAGTAGTTATTACGAAATTCTGAAGTATCTCAGCTTGAAGCTCTATAGTCTATAAGTAGGTTAAGGCTGAATTCTACCATATTCTTCCCTGCTAAAGAACACATAGGAAGAAATAAAACATGACTGTAAAGGTGTGACATCTTTTGTTCTCCTCTTCAGACATGCCCGACTCTGAATCTTTCTCTTGCATGTTTAAGATAATGGTGATGCTTCAGAGGAGGCATTATTTGTGAGCCGTAGCTTCTGTGACATTCACACAGCCTTGCATTGATTTCTTGTATTTCACTTCATTTTGTGCTGGTGTAATGGAGGTCAGAAATACTGATTCCATTATCTAAAAACCCTTCAAGCCCCGTTCTGGAGTGCAAAATGGCTCCCGCTGATTCATTTCACATGAGGTTAATTGCTTCTGAGCGCAAGTCCAAGAAGTGAATGCAAGAAGGTAAAGCACCTCAAGGTAGCTGAATATTGCAGTATCTGCTCTGTTCCACGCGCTGTTTATCACAGTCACTGGAGTGACGGGTTCATCAGATGCTTTCGCTTGGTTGGTATCCCGCTGCAAGCTCGCAAAGGGATGGCATAACGTAACCTGTCCCTACATGTGACTCGGATTGTAATAGGCTCCAGCACAGGGGTTACATAACGCTCGATCTTTCTGGCAGATAAGTTTTTCTAGCAGCTTTGGAAATGCTGCGTTCCAGTAGCTGCTTTGCCAAGTTAGAGACTCGGTCGCTATGGCTTCAGATAATGAATCAGCTTGAATCCATCCCGTGCTTAACATTAAAAAATGCACGCTGAAGGTTAGTGCTGTGTTTCGTGGAGTACTTTTTAGGTCCTGAGAATTTGTGGGTTTGGGCTTCTTTGCTTAGTGGAAAGGTTTCTAGGTAAGTTGAGCACAAAGTCATTACTGACTTCGTGTGCTTACCTTCTTGGTTAAGCTCTTGACTTTTTTTTTTCCAAGGAACATTTGGAGAACAATGCAGTAGGGAATTGTACTGCTGGGATGGAAGAGGCTTCTTATGTGGATTATTATGCAAGAGTGTTTAATCGCATGCCCTGGAGCACTGTTTCTTCACAGACTATATTAATCTCCTCTACTTGCATCTACTGGGTCCTCCATTATGTAATTTAGTGACTGGCGGGGTTGCTGCATTAGTTAATTGTTAATAGACTGTCACTTTGGGTTTGTCCTTTGATGTTAAACTCTCCTCTTTCCTTTCCTTGCAGAGCTGATGGAGAGGTGAAGCACTGTGTGATCTACAGCACTCCGAGAGGTTACGGGTTTGCAGAACCGTACAACCTGTACAGCACACTTAAGGATTTGGTTCTTCATTACCAGCAGACATCCCTTGTCCAACACAATGATTCCCTAAATGTCAGGCTTGCCTATCCTGTCTACGCACAGATGCCCCCCTCTCTCTGCAGGTAAATTTTGGGGAGGAGGAAAGCGTTGGCTATCTTGGATTCTTTTCTACGATTTTTATTAGAACTCGGAGGGCATTCTTTCTCCTTAGACTGCTTGTTTTGCACAAGAAGTGATTCTGTGAATGTGAATCAAAAAGAGGCCTAGCAGCAACAAGACGACAACTTGGGTGTAGGTGTCCTGGTGCTACCTTAAAAGCTCAGCTGTGCTTTTACACCAATACTTTTGTTTCCTTATGAGGGGAATAAACTCAACGCGACGCATACGAAAATACTGGAAGCAAAGCATCATCTTTACGGAGAAAATTTTCTGCCAGGCACCTTCAGTGGAACTTCTAATTGGATTTTGTTTTCTCTTGTTCTAGTAGAGACAGTTTGAATCCTCTACTCGAGGCATCAGTAATGTCTTTCAGTCTTAAAACTCCCAACGAACTCGGGGGAAACTCTACCACAGCAATTCTTCTCTGTTAATTTTAGCAGCTTCACTGCGATTCAGCCGGACTTCCAAAAGAGGGCTTTGTCTTGAGGTAGCATGGAATTTGGTGAGAGAAGACCAAAGGAATTATGGGAAAGCTTCAGGTTTTTATTTAAATGGAAAAAAAAAAATGCTTGTAAAAGGAAAGTTGCTTTATTTTTTTGCCAACAGTAACAAAGTTTTGGTTTCAATGGCACTACAGGTCTTCGCTTAAAGGAAACATAACCAAACTGAACATGCCAAAACTTTGTTCATTGCTAGATTGAGCACTTACAGGGGAGGTTGCATTAGCATCCACGCATACTTTCTGCACCAAAACTTGAAACAAATAAAAAGAAAAGCTAAACATTGTGTGGCTTCAACACACTAAATTTGTCTGATCTGACGTAATTGCTCACTCTCCTCTTTCTTCACTCCCCCCTCCCTCCCATTCCTCAACTTGGGATTCTGTTTTCAGTTTTTAATGATACTGTGCTTCAGAATGTAAACCAGAAGGAAGCTTGCACTCACCTGCTGCAGGTCTCTTGCTGAACAATGACAGACTCTTATAAAGCTTGATTTTGGTACAGAAGAGGTCAGTGTAATCAAATGCTTCTGGATGGCTTATTGTACCAAATTTTTTGGTGAGTTATAGATAGTCACTCCCAGTTGTAGAGAGGTGAGCATGCTACTCATAGATCTGCTCCAATTTGTTCTTTGCAAGATGGGTTCTGAACTCTCACACCACTGCAGCCAAGCAAGACTTTACACTGGTATAATCTAAATTCCCTTGTAGTTATTTTGGACATGATGCAAAACACAGGAAGGGAAGAGAGCCATACTCCTCAGTTACTGGATGTCTGGTACCATCCTTTGGCAAGGGCTGCTGTCAGATACTGGAGTGGGTAGTCCTGGGTTTCATCAAGTACAGCAATCATCAAATAAATCCCCTCCCTGGAAAGTGTACAAAGCAGCTTATTTCCATTCCTTAAGCTTCTAAAATGAAAAAGAGCTAAGTTTGGCAAACTGAACCACTTGGCATCAAAGCACAACTGGCAAAGTAATTGTTCAGTGTGCAACCTTGAAAGTTACTTTTGTTCCCATTACTGGAAGCGTTTCCCTTGCAATGCACCCATTGTGCAGGACAGGAAGCAGACAGTCATGCAGGTCTGAGAATGCTGGAGACCCGTTTCTGACCCTGGGGCTGATTTCCTGTTCAAATGGCTTTTTTCTGTAATGCCTGGGCAGTAGTGCCAGGCTTGTTGATGTATAATGTTTACACTAGAAGTATTATTTTGCTGAATGTCTTGAATTTGCAAGTAGGGAAGTGACAAGGCTGGAGCACTGACAGCCATTGCAGGAAGGGTAGTCTGGTTGCCTGGCATGCCAGGAGATGTTTTATTTTGCACTAATGACCCTGACGCATCCCAGGCACTTTCTAATCGGCCAGAGTGCAATCTTCAGGCAAAGAATTCTGTCGATGCCACTTTTCTCATTAAATGAAACACTTCAGAACTTAACCAAGACTGTGTGTGAGGGAAGAATAAAATTCAGATAAGTTGCTGTGTCAAAAGTGAACCACATCTGCTAGTGTGTCCCTTCTGTCCTACTTCCCCAGGAAAAGGAAAAATGAGACATAGCCTTTGCTGTTAGTGGAAATCTTGAATGGATTCCTCAGTGGTATGTGGACATGGAATTCTTTTCTTTATAAAGAAACTCGCCCTACATTTTGGATAATTTGCAGTTCTAATCTGGTAGCTGTAAAGCCGTCATTCTCACACCCCTTGAACATCTAGCATTCCCTCAATGCTGGGCTGAGACCAAATGCCCAGTGAGGGAAATCAGCTCAAAGGCACAAATGATAGCCAGGTGCCTCATGCCTGTGGAGAAATCTGTGTGGGAGGAGTGTCTGATTCTTTTCACTGCCCTTGTGATCTCTCTGGACTCTCCTCTTACTGACAACGTTAACGTTCAAGGCCGATGGGGCCCGTATTTCTGATCCCTGACTTTGTGACAGAGATAACCTGGCTGAAGTGTTTCACCTCTGCCCCGTTTTCAGGTAGGGCTCAGTTTGGTTTTAAACAAGCGCAGATCTACTTCCAGGCTCATAAATCCTGGCACACCCTTGCAGTACTGACAGCAGCAGGGTAGCAGAGCGGGGCTGTCTGAACTTTCCCTGTAGTGGAGTCTGACTGATCCTGTGAGGTCTTGGTCTGGGCTCCAGCCCTGGCTCTGCCAAGGTAAATACAGTGTAATTCCATTAACGTTTGTGAAGGTAGCTTGGCTTTATCGTGGTGTGAGTGAGTTGGGATTCTTGGCCCTTTGCTCCCCGAGGTCTTTTCTCTGATCACAGGTGATGTGTTTGGTGTGAATGATGGACCCAGGGCCAATAAGCCATCTTGAAGCGTTCTTTGAAGTTCTGTTGTGCCCAGACCTTCAGATCAGGGCCACGGGCAGACTAAGACCACATTCCTTGTGTTTGGCTCTGTTATCCTCCCTGACAAGTCTCCCTGAGGCTGTTTTGCCACTGTATCTCTGTGCTTGGTTTAGGCACCTGAAGTCCCTCAGCTGCTGGGGTTGTTCCCCTTTGACTCTCACGTGCTGCTGCACAGATTCTTTTTGCATCCATTTTGCACTCTCAGAGCAAATGAAAATGGGTACAAAACCAACTGACACATGTAGCCGGTGTGATCCATGAGGCAAGGGCTTGGTCCTGCACCTCTCATTGTGCTTGACCTGATTCTGTTTGCTCAGTGTCATTAGACCTGTGAGAAAACCCACAGCTTCCAGGAGCTGTTCCGCACTTGCACGGCTGAGAAATCAGCGATGGGCCCGAGAGGTGCAGGATTACACCCCAGGACGAAAAGCAGCTGTTAAGCCTAAAACAAATACAGGAAATATGAACATAAAGGCAAAACAAAGGAACTCAAGTTCTTTTAAAACAGTAAAATGTGAGAAGGTTTTAATTTTAAGAGTCAGAACGTCAGGAGGAAAGGGGGGAAATAGCCTCACTATTGTAGCAGCCGTCTGGTGCCAGACTGCAGTTAGAGGAGCATTGATCTCATTGACCCATATTGTATTAAATATATATGTAGAATTAAATAAATAACTTTTGCACAGTGTTAAATGGGGGAGGGGGGTGGGAGGGGAGTGGGACATTGAAACTCAAATATGCACAGTTTCTTCTAATCTGTTTTGAAGTATATTTGCAGGGATTAGGGGTGATTCGGTATTTTGTATTGGTATGGATGGAAATCAGATCTGCTTCCACAGTTGCCATTGGCCCCATTATGTCAGCCACGAGTGCCATATTTTTTGAAGTTAGTAAATTATAAATCTTTTCCCACTAGTTTCTTTATTGATTGCATGTTTATGTGAGCATGGGAAGAACCAACCTAGAAACAGAGGGATGTCTCAGCAGGTGCTTCACTAGTGTGTGGAGCAGTAATATGTGATTGTTCACTTTCTGGTACTGGAGCGCTCTAGTTTTGTGGGTTGTATTTTGGTTTTTCATTTAATTCTCGTCAGCAGTGCATTTGGGTCACTGCTTTGCACCGTTGGTAGTTGCAATCTAGAGTTATATCCAGTACAGCCCTCTGTCTTATGCCAAAAATAAAATGCTCTTTCCACACTCATCTCTCTTGATGTGGCAGATGGTCAAGAAGTTTTCCATTTAATGTGATGGGCCTGATTCTTTTCTTGCTGACACCAGTGTTAGCAAGACTTCCACAACCAAAAGCCATTCCCAGGAAAAGAACTTATCTTTAATAACACCTGAATTCTAGTCACAGCAGGGCAAAAGTCAGTTGTTTTTCCTTCACAAAGCCAGGCAACTGTAATGGGACTGTGGAAATGAATGTTGACACTTAGTGCTGTTTTAGGGAGGACAGGAGAAGGAGGAGGGTCTTGGTTGCCCCAAATCCTGGGCTCTGTGCAGGCTTAGGTGGCACCATGTCTGTAACTGAATGCTGTGGCTGTTTAAAACAGCAGAATTGCTTTAGGAGTGTCACACTTTAAGTTTGGAAAAGCCCCTTTTTTGGTACTTGAACAATCTCGCTTCTGTTTTTGAATGTCTGTTTATTTTTTATTTTTGTTACACTAACAGGGAATAAAAATCTGAAATGTTAGTGAGTCTTGTATGCTTGCTGCATTGTGCAGACATGAAACAGGTACTGCTTGTGGATCAGTAGGGGTAAGAGACAGGTTCAAAATGCAGTTTTACAAAGCACTATGATGGGTTGGGGGTTGTTTTGTTTAGATCACATTTAAAATCAAATTTTCCTTTGTGTAGTTCCCTTATGTTGATTTGCAACCTCTGCTTTTGGAAGAGCAAAATCAAAATAACATTCCCGAAGAACAAAGATGCTGTGAGGGGAGGGGGGGGTCAGGCTTGCTCAAATTCAGCATTCAAAGCAAACAGCTTTAATGAAGAGGAAGGATCAGCACCCTAAAGCATCCCTCTGGTTGTAGTTTGATGAAGCAGGAGACAAACCATGAAGCAGGACCTCCACCTGGAACCCACAAAATAAGAGGAGATGCCAGAGCAGACCCTTCCCTTTGGAATAACCAGCTATACTCTCCTTAAACGTGCATGCCAGGAGAGAGTTAGAGAATTAGCATAAGTCCCTAAGGAGTTGCTCCCCTTTCTGTGTTGGAAGGGAACTTGCATTGCTGATCCCTTTGCTTCCCTTGGCACGGTGTGTGCAGCAGGAGAAGGGAACCAAGTCACCAGCCCAAATAAGCGCCGGCCTGTTCGTGGAGCCGGTTAAGTACTGCGTGAGGAGCAGCTCTGGATGGGGTTACATGAAGTTTGTCCAACATTTCTGTGAATCTTGCATTCTGTGGGCAGAAATACTTTCCACCTAATGGGAAGGGAAAAAAAAAGAAAAAAAAAAAAATCTCGCTTGAAATCTTTTCAGTTCCTTCCTGTTTGTTCAAAGGGGCAGATCGGGAGCTTTAGCTTGTTAACTGTTTAGAGGATGGCAGTGCTTCAAGTGCTGGTCTTTGGGGCTGGCTCCATACAATTAATGCAGAATTTGCATATTTGAAATTGCTTATTGGCATAGACTCACCGTATTTTATGACTAGACTCACCATTTGTTCTAAAGTTTTTTGCCTTTAAAAAATGTAATACAAGCATCAGAGGCCAAAAAAAAAAAAAAAAAAGAATGGACCCTTATTGATAGAAAAAAAAAACCCACTTAGTTGATCAACCTGTATTAGAGAAAGCAGCTTTAATTTGATGCCCCCCCCTCCACCACCTTCCCTGGGATTGCTTCTGTGAGATCGGCGTTGGCAAACGGGGGAGAAGGAAATTCCCCTGGCACTCAGCAACGCTGCACCCACGCGCTTTCCAAGTGCTTGTAGCAAGAGGCTCGGGATCGTTTGGAGAAAGTTATTGCATCCAAAGACAGAAAGGGTCTCTAAGGGTGAATATCACCCCCCAGCACCAGCCTTGTCCCCTCATGGGGGCTGTAGGATGCCGGGGCCAGCCAGGAGCTGCTCCCGGGTCTCTGCTGGCTGCTGGGGTGGGGTTCACGTTCAGTTGGCTGGTTGGGGTTTTTGGTCTGTTTTGTTTTTGTGAGTGACTTCTACATCCAGCAAAGATACGTTTGATGAAACCTGTTAATTTTGTATATCTGGCTGTTTATTGCACCATGGGATTGTAATGGTCTGCATCATCTGTGTGTGTGTGTGTGTGTGGGTGCGTGTGTGTATATGTACTGTATGTATATAGATATATGTAAAATATATTCACGTACACATGTATATGCATTAGCTGTAAGTGGCACTGCCCCTTGAAAATAAAACAAAATTCACCGTTAGCACATTCTGCCGCGTGTTTAGGCAGAATCGGGTTGGTTTTTGTCAAATGAAAAGGAGTTTATTGTGTTCATCTTGCCTATGTGCTTCTGAAATGCTGGACTCTGGATTTCCTCGGGGGGTTACTACTCTGTCTGTAAACCGAATTGATTTGGGGTGTTACTTGCCCTGGGGCAAAGCATTCAACTCTGTCCCAAGAAAAGGTTTGGCAAAAGAAACCCCTCTTGCTCTCCCGCGAGATGCAGTGATCGTCTGCACGTTCCAGTCGCCCCTCGGTGCCCCCTGTCCAGAGCTGATGTGCAATGGGTGGTGTTGGTGCGTGTTCCTTTGTGAGTGGACTCTTTGTACAAGGTGTGGTTCAATGTAAAGCATGAGTGGGTGTTTGATCTTGTGTCGAGGGCTGAAATAACAGCACACTCCTTTGTACAACCTTTGCATCAATGTTTCTGCTTTTCTTTGACTTCTATTTTCTTTGAGGGAAAACTGCATCTGTTAAGAACCTGCTTCTCCAGAAGCTATGGAATTATTTTGTTTTCCAGATGAATTCCAGCATGTAACTTTGGTACTCTTGTTTGTTATTTGTGTAAAATCTGTTCTTCTGTCGTTTATGGTGTAGTTGGGGAGGGGGGTGGGGGGAAGAAAAGAAAAAAATAAAGGAATTCATGTAGTTTAACTTTTAAAGAAAAGAAACAAACTGCTTCATAAGGAAACCAAGTGTATGTTAGTGTTTTCTGACAAGTCATCCTGTAGTTTCTAGCTCAGTAATGCAACACTGTACTTGTCACCAGGTGTGTTACAATTTTGCTGTACTTTCTTTTACTAGATGGTTGGGCTTTTAAATCCCAGACACTAAGCATCCTGGGCCTACTTGCTCTAGATCAAAAAAAAAAAATTAAAAAAAATGCAATAAAAAAAAAATTGCAATAAAGCACATTGACATGTAATGTTTTAGAAGGATGTACTGACAGCTGTTTCTAATAAATTCAGAACTGCAGCGTGGTTGGGCTGTCGTGGTGTTAGCTGTGTCTGTCTCCCAGCCGAGGCCATGGGCACCACCTTCAACAGAGGCTTTAAAAAAAGACTTGCAGAGGTCTGATTTCCTCTCGGCTGGAGAGAAAGCCCCTCTCGGGGCCGGGGCGAGGGAGGAATACACGTAGCACACGCGCGTTCCTTGATGGAGCCGTTCCTGCCTTCCTTTTGCAGCCCCTTCGGAGAGAACAGGAGCCATCAGCAGTGTTCTTGCATGCCTGGCTGCTTCCCCTGCCATCAGGGAAAACCACCTTTGGTGATGCTGCTCCTGGTGCTGGGGGTGCGTGGTGGGGGCTGCAGCACCGAGCAGGCTTCCCAAAGACCCGGCTCGGCTGTACCCATTCGCCTGGATTTTGTAGGAGTTGGGGTAATCACTGTTCGCTTTCCAAAATTCTTCCATGAGCACCAGGCACTGGAACCGCTGAAAAAATCAGTGGGTTTGGGGGTAATGCTGCTCATCTTCATTCATTCCAAACACAGGTGACGGCAGGAGGGCAAACTGGGGGGATGTTTTGCCCCATAAACTTGGGGGATTGGATGGGGTGCCAGAGCAACATCCTTGGAAAATTAGGGCAGGGGCAGTTGCTGTGGCTGTGGCTGTGCAGGGCTCAGTGTTTTTGCAGCCCCATGAGTCGACGTTTTCGCAGACTGCTGAGCAACATTTTTCCAGCCTCCTGAGTCAACCATTTAAAAAAAAATGCTGCATCAGCATTTCTCACACTGCCAAGTAAGCCTTTTCAGCTGCTGAGTCAGCATTCCCTCCATCACTCACACCACAGGACCCTCCACCAGCAGGCAGGGAGCACCCAAAAAGGCAGAAGAGTCCCTGATGGTGCAGGAGAGCATGGACCCTGAGGCCTTGCTCGGGCATCTGTCATTACACCCAGCAAGGAGCTCAGCCCATGTTACTGCGCCTTGGGGTGCTCCTGCTCCCCGTGTCCTTCCTGGGAAGGGACACAGTGCTGGAGGGATGCAGCCACTCAGAAACATCACCCAGAGCATCAGGAGCCACATGGGTCCCAGTGGATGAGCCATGGGCACTGTGGGCTGATGATTACTGACTGCCTTGGCACCACTGGGCACCCAAGTCGGAGTGAAGGGAGAGGACTGCAAGGGGCTCCTGGGGCCTGGCTTCTTGTTATTATTATTTAATTTAATTCTTTTAAAAAAGACTAACGAGGTAGAGTTGCAGGAAAGATGTAAGTCACTAATTGGCGAGTCGTTTTTTAGGGCTTTGCCAGACAGTTCGCTGTGTTATGAAAACATTACAGCCGGCAGCCGAGGTAGGAAATTTCCAAGCGGCTGTGCTGACTGGATGGAAAGAAAAACACCTCCCAGCTCAGATGTCTTCTCAGAGAAAGGGCAGATCCTGGGGATTTTTCCATCCTCAGCAACGCCGCAGAGCTTCCTGAAAGTCCCTTGGGTTCTCCCCTCACCCCAGCCACATACAGGATCCTTCCTGGGGGCAGGCAATGGCACAGCACCCACAGGCACAGCACCACAGAGGAGGGGTGTGGGATGGATGGACAGACATCCCCAGGCTGCTTTTGTGGGATTTCTGTTCCCCCATAGCAGGAGGCTGCTCCAGTGGGAGATTCATGCCCATGGGAAAAAAAAAATCTGGGGGCAAACCCCAAACATCTCCAAGACCCCGTCCTCCCCCAGCCAAAATGGCTCGGTGCAAGGGATCAGGCTTTGGTTTGAAAGCTAGAGGCTTGTTGCAGCAACCAAGCTCCTCCACTTCTTCTCTTCGGTTCTCAAAATAGACTTATCTTAGTCTAATAGTTTAGTTTAATAGACACCGTGTTGCTGGGCAGCAGGAGCAACACAGCCAGCAGCCGTAGCTCTGAGTACCACGGTCAGGAATAACGGGCAGGGCAGTGAGGTGGGGCTGCACAGTGCCTTGAGCTGCCCAAAAACCACGAGGGATGTGATTGCCTTGTCCCCTCTGGCCCACTCCAACATGCACAGCCAGTGCACGGGGTCCATCAGGCACCTCTGCCATGAAGGAAGCACCTGAGCATGGAAATGCAGCTGGGGCAGCTGCTTCCCTCACCAGTCCCAGCATGTTTGGGTCAGGGTGGGTGCAAAGGTACCCAAGGCAGAAAGAATGATCCCCCCAAAGGATGCACAACCTGGCCCCAGGGAGACACGAGGAGAATGAGGGAGCATTTGCCCCAGCCATGGGCCACAATTCCTCCCAGTGAGACATGAGATGCAGCATTTCCCTCCTTGGAGCATCAAATCCAAGCTTGGAGCAGTGAACAGCAGCTTTCAAGTAAACTGGTGGATTAGGGTTGGCCACAGACCCAGAATCCCTATTTCATGGGAAATGTCATCAGCTCACTGGTCGGGTTTCATCCAAATTGGACCAAAATGGTAATGAACAAAATTTGACTCTGGACAATACTTCCAAGGGGAAAAAAATACCTCACACCAATTTTGTTTCAGCTGGCACAGCCCCACAGCAACATTAGTCTTTCTGTACCAATGCAATCCATGCACCCAGGGGGTTTGAAGGACAGAGGCTTCACCCTGACCAACATAAACCACTTCCCTGGCTACTATTTTCTCCAGACTTTCTCCTGGCTACTATTTTCATCAAATCTCTTCTTTCTGATGGCAAATCTTTCTCCCTGAGGGAACAAATTGGCTTTGTGGCCTCTGAAATTGCCTCTACTGTGCCCGGTAGAGGCATTCGCTAGCCACAAGCCTGCTTCATGCCACAAGCCTGCTTCAAGCACAACTGTCACTGAAGCATTTCCCAAACTTTTTCCTTTTGCTCACACCTTCAAGGGAAGGGGCAGGAAGGGTGCGCTGAGAGCAGAGCCAGCCCACCCTGGGCAGGTGCCGTGCACGCTCCCAGTGCTGCTCTGCCAAAGGAAACACAAACATCCTACCCAAAGAAAGCACTTTTCATCGGCAACACAGGTTCCCATTTTTGCACAGGGCTGGTCTGTTCCGGGCAGTTTTCCCCACCGCTCCACAGGGCCGAGCTTTCCGGGCTGGGCTTTGGCCAGAGCCGCCCTTCCTGCCCCATGTTAGATCCACCAAAACCAGCCAACGTGACCACGTCCGGCACCTGGAGAGGATTTGAGTTGGCCTGAAGTGAGACACCCTGGAGTTAAAGGGGCTTAGTCAGCCTCAGAGTCCCTCCCGCACTTGGGCTGGCACCTGGGGGTAGCAGACCTTGGGATGTGGCACCTGGGGTTGTAGGACCCTGGAGATTTGAGACCTAGAGGCTGTGGGACTCTCCTTCTCCTTGCTTCTGACACGTGGAGTGTTGGCCAAACCCGGCTGTCTCTAGCCCTGAAAAGGCGATCAGCCCCCATAACCTAGAAGGAGCCGTTGGAGGGAAATTCCAGTGTCATGGAGTGATGCAGCTTATGAAATAGTCCAGGACAACACGAGTAGATTGTTGGGAAAAAAAAAAAAAGAGCGAGAGAAGGAAGAAAAAAAAAGGTAAGTGTTTCTTTGGCCTAAAGTTTGGGAGGACCTGAGGAGAAGACAAGAATCAGACCAGATGAGGGGTGAAAAGGAGCGTAAGGGCACTTGGACACACATCACCTGTGGAATAAATAGCTCCGGGTATTTTATACCTGCCCTCAGTGGCAGGCGGGGAGAGGAGCAGATGGGGCTCCTCATCCCGCTCCTCTGCACCCATCAAAGCGTTGCCGCCACAGCAGAGCCCCTGGCAGGGCTGCCCTCCGAGGATGGAGCTCAGCCCGAGCTCAGCCCGCCCGGCTGCCGGGCAGGAGCAAAGTCCGCGGGGGCAAACGCGGGGCCGACACTCCGGGAACAAAGCGCCCTTTCACGGCAGCGGCTTGGCCAAAGGAGCCGGGGAATATTCCTGTCCAAGAGCTTCCAAACGGCTCCCAGCTTTGATCCCGGGCACAGGGTGGGTTGTTGGTGTTTTTTTCTTTCCTTCTCTGTGTTGCTCTTATTTCTTTTTTTTTTTTCTTCCTACTTCAAGGCATAATTTTTGTGAATGCCTATAATTTCTAAGAGAAATTTCTTGCTGCTCCAGGAAGAAAAATCTTCTGCTGGGACCAAGGTGCAGGCGTTGCATGGCCCTTGCCCCTATCATGTCCTTCCCCCATGGAGCAAATCTTCAGCTGCCATTTCTGCCAGGAATTTTGGGTGCAGCACCACAGCATGTGGCTCCTGCCACACCTCTGAGGACACAGCACTCCTCTTTTGTACCCAGGGGTCCTCCCAGAGACAGAAGCCCCTCCTCCCAGGCCCACTGGAGGTGCAGGTGCCCATCATCATCATTTTTGGCTTAGAGGATGGTTTCTGAACATGTCTGATAAACCCCAGCCTCAGTCAGGGTGGGAAATCAAAATAGCTCCACTGTTGCATGCCTTCTTCCCAAACCACATCCTCTCCAGGGGACCTGGGGGCTTTCACACTCAGGTGGCCTTTCAGGCCTCCCACGTGATGAGGACAAGCATCTTCCTGCTGACCAGCTCCCACACCTGCTGGCTTCCAACTGGTTCATCTGCCCCTTGTCCGAAATCTGCTCTCCCTGCCCAAATGCGGAGGGAGGGGATGCACCCACCCATCCCCACCAGCTGAAGCCATGCCCAGTCCAGGTCTCTCCCCTCCTGCAGCACAGGGAATGGTTCCCTACAGGCCCATACACCCACATGGTGTGGGGCACACCTGACACCCCTGGCAGGCCCACTGCCCACATCCCAAATATTTTTAGGCAGCTGGAAACACTCCTTCGCTGCTGCCAGCCTCCAGTGCAGGGATGGGAGGAGACATGGGATGGAGAAATGGAGTCAGCCCTGAGAGGTCACCGCTGCTCTGTGAGCTGGCAGCCAAGGGATTAAAACAACCCCCCCTCCTCTTCCTCCTTCTCCTTCTCCTCCTCCTCCTGGTCCCGCCAGCCGCCTTCTGACGGATGTTGCCTTTGGACTGGACCCTCTCGCAGCCCAGCTGCCGAAAAAATGCTGCGGT